CCATCTGTTTCTTGAAAGAAACCAGAGTATGGACTTCAGCAATGTGGCTAAGTAGTTTATTCCATACTCCCACAATCCTTTGCGTAAATAATTATTTCTAATAATTCTATTTCTGTCCCCTTTTGTCCTTTGGCTTGTGTTTCAGGGTTACCTCACTTATTATAAATGTATATGATTATAGTGTAAACAATGTGCCATCTACATGCATTTTAATTTTTGTTTTGTGGAAAGTTAATAACTGACAGAGTATTGGCAGATATTGCAAATATCTATTGACATTGAGAAACTTGTATTTGTAATTATGCAGTAAGTTAGAACAAATACCTGAGGATGAAGGAAATAATTCTGGAAATAATTATATTTTTGTTTTGCTCTTGTAATGTAATACTGTGTAGCTGATGAATCGGCAGGTGTCGTCTGTATGTAACATACTGTACCACAGGTGGCTAACCAACTACTTTTGTTTCTGTGTGTCTAGATTGATGAGTATTGCAACAGTCTAAAATAACATCTGTAAAATGATAAAATACCTCTACAATAATATCTCTGAGAAGATAATTTTACAGTACAATTTACTTTTATCAACATAATACTACAAAAGATTTCAAATTTAGTGACATTATTTATAACTAATGAAACAGTACTTTAATGTATATACTGTATACAACAACACTGCTTAATTTGGACAGACATTTACACCCTTACTCACATGCTTTATATAAATATCCATTTCACTGCCAATTATAACACCTGCAATCTTTTTGGTACCCCAAGCAGTAGCTTTATACTAACAGTAGCATATACTGTATATTCAATCATAAATATACAGTACAAGGCAATAACTACATGATATTCAATCATGTCTTCAGCAGTCTATGCTGTGTAGATATTGATCAGTATGTTTCACATGCTGTGAGAGAGGCAGGGCCTGGAGCACAGGTAGATCAGTAAGGCACAGCTTCCCGTTAATATACTGTAGGAAAAAAGGTTTTGATTCAAAGCAGATTGGAAAATGGCGGTTGACCCAATATAAGAAAACCATGCAAAATGGCTAAAAACATCCTTGGAAAATTGAAGAGTAGGCTGGTAGTGTACATTCAAAGACATTCAAACATACTTGTTTGGAATAGAACTAGAAAAGATGTCAGATTAGCTGATTCTTTAGGATTTAGTAAACAGCTGAGAATTACTTTTCTCAGGAACATGTTTACAAACCTTTGCCAACATATTAGATATTAAAAGATGTTATTATAGAGTTGTTTAGCAAAACAAAAATGTAAAAATAATATCCAAATAAAATATTAGGTGGTTGCATTTTAATTAAATTTAAATTAGATTAGAAGAAGTAAATAATCTTACAAATCATAATGCATCACTATACAGTAATTTTAATAACAAATGTCCAAATTTTTGCTGTAGAAATACAGGTTTTACTCATGGTGTCGAGTCACAGATTGCCAAAGAAATCATAGCTGGAGGTAATGCACAAGAATATGAAACTACCCCTAACCCTGGGACTTTGATTTTATATGAGTTAAGGTAAATAGAAAAATGTTAATTAAATCAACATTTACTGTAAAAGTACCAATCAGCAGAGTTCTTGAAAATGAAAGAGCATTTCATCCAATTAACACATAGGTTAAAGACTAAAGACTAAACTCACCATGCAGACACCGTTTAGACATACATTTATCAAGCATTAAGCATAAGTTTCAAAAGTACTTAAAAGAGTATTATTATATCGGTTTAATGATGGTTTATATAAAAATACAACAAAGCAGTTATTTCTTTAGATATTACATCAATGTGTGTTAAGGTTGTAGTAATTAAGTACAAATTCAGTATTACCCTGATGGGACAGTAGTTCTTGCTTTGCAATTGGGGTAACCAGAATACTAAATTAGTCTAATACTGAGGTACTAATTGAGAAATGATATACAGGTAGTCCACTAGCATTTCTTTATCGTTGGAAATGTTCTAATATGTTTTAGTGGGGGTTGAATTGCAAAACTACAAAAAAAGATTGTTTTAAATGAATCAACAGGCGATAAATATTTTGATACATTTTACATTACAGTATGTACATCACAAACCAAACTTTCTGTACTTTTTTGATCTATCTGCCTTCCAGATCATTAAAGAACACTCTAACAGTGTATTTGTCCACACCCAGCAATATGTTGCAGTTAAAATATTAACATCAGTTCCACTACATGTCCACAGATGTGCAGTATGTGGAAATATGGCAGCATACAGCCAAAAACAGTTGACACAGCTTTCCCTGGGATGTGGGCAGTAGTTCAGAAGCTATCATATATAATTCAAGAAGAGCAGGGGAACTAAAACAGGTGCCTGTGGCATTCCACTTACAAATACACATTACCCAAGCCTAGATAAACGTTTTTGGAATTTATTCACGAAATTGGTGTAATCTGTCCCACAGTGTACTGTTCTAATTGTTATTATCCCATCATCACTTTCAATACTGTACCTTTACATTTTGTGAAAGCAAGATTGGTTGGTAGTTTCCAGCACATTAGAAATCAGGACTTTCAGCTTTACATTTGATGCTGTGGATGATTGAAGACGGTTGGTGAAGAACCTGTGTATATAAACCCCCTTTTTTACATTTGTCTTATATTCTCTAATGAAAGCATATTATCTATAGAAAACCAAAGTAACCAAGATGGCGCCAGAGAGAGGCAACATCTTGCGAGGAGCTCCTGACTGATTTGACTTTATATCTGGTTAGCTGTTATTATTGTTAACTTTATACGTACAATCTGTTTCAGGAATAATCTTGTACAACTGACATGCTCTTTTCAACATTAGATAAAGAGTTTCAGACATAAGTTTTAATATTTTGGACCTAGACCAGCTATCCGGACTTAAATTACTTCCACTACTTAAACTGTGTACTGAGCTCAAAATACTGCCACTGCTGAATTTTGCACACAGCTGCTGTCTAAATGCTGGTTAAAATTATAGCTGCTACCCTGTTCCTGTCTCCAAGAATTGTGATGTCATTTGTTATATCACTGTCTATGTCAATGTTATGTCATCTGTCATGTGAGAAAAACACGCAAGCATGCATTTCATTGTACTCAGGTACATATGTGTCACGATTATAGTCCCCCCTCCTTAAGGGTGCTCCAGCTCTTTCACTTGAGACTTTATTCTGTGCACCTGATTCCTATTCCCAGCCCACCTTAAAAGCCAGGCTCTGACGCTCATCCGGGCTCTGCATCTGGCTTCCGCACCGTGCGAGTCCGGGACCTGGAAGCGCCTGGTCCCGTTAAGGTTTTAACCTCTGTTCCTGTTCCTAGTCCGCCGGTTCCGACCCGGTTCGTGTTTTTAATTCCGTGTTTGGATGGATCACCTGGCTATGGAATTTCTCTTGTGTTTTTGGATACCCTCTTTGGATTACTCTTTTGGATTGTTTGCCTCGGCCACACCTCCCCCGTGCACCAGCGCACTTTGGACACGCCCCCCTGTTTTCAGCCCTGTATTCCTGCATGACGTTTTCCTAGTGTTTCCCCACTTCTTCGGATTGTGTCGTCCGCATAGGGTCCGGAAAGAACTGTTCGTTACAATATGGAAATGAACTTGAACTTGAGAACCTCTTTTTGAGGAGGGCTATAGTAAGACCAGCTTAGGTGATGTGCACAAACCTTCCCACTGTGTAACATGACTGTGTTCTGTTAACCTATCTACTGGTTCTTTCTGTCTGTACTGGTCTTCAGGAGGCTTAACCTCTACCTTAACGTCCATCTGAGATCATGCTGACCACTGTGAAACTGCCAGTGGGGCTAACTGGCTCCCTAGAGGGTTTCCCTAGACTTGTACCTCAACCTATATGGAATATGAATAATATAACCAAATAACCTCTCTGGAACTGGATAAAACATCCAGTGGTCCTACAAGAGAATAACCAAGTTGTTTCTCTCCAAGAGAATAATTAAGTGATTGCTGTAGACCTTGAGAAGAGGTCTTCCATTAAAATGACTCAACTTAGATATACAGTAATATATTGTGAAATAACTCAAATTTTTTATTCACACTGTATAGAACTAATATTAATCGTGGGTCCACAACATTCTACTAACCACGACCTTTTGTGTTTGCATGCTCTCAATCTTTTATTGACCCCTTAACGTTTTTTAACCCTCTTGTGGGTTCAACACAATATTGGCATTCAAACTATGCTGGACAGTGATTGTAACTCTTAACTTAATTCTGTGGAATGATTTCAGTTACATTCTATTAATAACATCTCTTATGATGGAAAAAAAATCTGTAGATGCTTTTGCTCTAGTCCCTAAATGGCGAAGGAACAGGACTGCTCAGAAATGCCAAATGCGACAAAACAATATGAGCTCAACCGTGATTCTGCAAAAAATATTTTCTTCTAAATAAAGGTTAAAGTACTCACCTGCATGTAGTCTACTTTAAAAGTTCACAGTTGCAAACTTAGCTCAAAACAAGGCAGAAAAGATGAGATTATGATATAGTGCTGCAATGCATCTACAAGCAAGAATGGCAAAATAACTGCTAAATACAGTAGTTTCAATCCAGGTGGATATTCATCTGGTATCCATTTGTAGAACACAAAAAAAGCATAATTTGCATTATCTTGCATTATATGCTAAGCCATCGAGCAATTATCATTTTATGTAAATATGTATCCATATAACCTGTGCAAAAAATACAATGTACTACATTACTTTTGTGAGAAAAAACATTTTGACATTATAGATTTACTATTATTATATACCAATGTCTTCCTGGAGAATTTCTAATTATCCCTCAAATCATGCCAGTTCTAACAGGGGATGTTGAGTGTATTTGACATATAGTACATGTACAGTACCATGAATCACACTCACAAAATGAAAATAAGGTACCATGTTCTTCCTCAAAAGTGAGAGATTAAGTGGTTTGTGATTTTATTTTCTCCTCATATGGAGAGTCATGTTTTTCATTGTGCTTTTGCACCACAGCTCCTGATGCTCCATATACACACTGGAAGCAGACAGTCTTTTATTTAGAGGACTATCTGACCGTGCGGAGAGGGGAGGAAATCTATGGAACCATCGCTATGAAACCCAATGAGAAGAACATAGTGAGTCTGAAGCTCCTTTTGCTACTTACAGCCAGGGCTTCCAACTGCTACCTGCTGCTCACAATGTTTTAAACCAGCTGAGCTCCGAGTTACTCGATAAACCCTCAAGTGGACGAATACATTTGCTTAACTATAACCTATTTCCATTGTTATTCAATCAGTAAATCAGGGGATTTCAAGTTCCTACAAGCAGAGTTGAAAACCATTAACCATTAACCATTAACATTAATAAAATTATTGGTTCAATTAAGGGTTAAATGAAGTGTCTTCTGCCTGACCTGGATACCACAAGGTTTACAGAGACTTGCTCACATACTTGTTTTCCATTCTGCAGAAAGCTCCCTACAGCCTTCCTGTACATGATTACATCTAATCTTTATTTAGAATCCCCACCAAAATTTGGCACAAAAAATGTAAACGATTGCCGTGTAGCTGTAGAGATGTGTCTCTTATACATTTCTTCTAATACTCTATCAGTAAACCTCTTGGTCAGATTGAACTGCTTAATCTTCATATGAAATCTTTCATGACTGTTGAAAGGTGGTTATTTAGCTCTTCAAATAGGGATTGCTGCAACCCCTGTGTGCCTGGATTGTAAAAGCACTTATTCGTTTCTGATGTCAAACCCTGTACTTGATGTCCAAATAAACTTTCCTTACTGTTACAGGTCTAATGGATAGGTTCCATCTTTTTCTTGTTTAAATGCAGCTTTATGATTGTCCTGATGGAAATTGTTAAGTTGTTAATTCCAGGCTTCTCAAACCTGATGCTTGGGACTTATTTTCTTCAGTTGCATCAGAGCTCTTGCTTAATGATTTGTTTAATTTAACACATTTTTACATTTTAAGATTTTTTAATTATCACATGTGCTGAAAGGTAAAGCTCTCCTGGAATGAAGTCCTAGATACAATGTAGGCCAGGTTTGGTGAATCTCACTTCAATCACAGTAAGGATGTGTCAAATTTGCATGGATAGGCTTGGCAGAATTTATGCGAGACTGAATGGTTTTCTCTTCCATAAGCATCTCTCTCTTTTTTTTTTTAACAGCGTGATTTGGATTTCACTGTTGAGCTGGACTTCAAAGGCCAGCTTTGTGAAGCTGCAATATCTCATGATTATAAGATGCGTTAAACATTCAGGGGAAGATACAGTCAGCAGTATTTCATAGGTGCTCTCTCTACTCTTGCTGGAGAAAAAGAAGGAACAGTACTTCAGTGGCTTCGAAGTGGTGACTGTGGGAAAGCAATGAGCCAGTTGGAAGAGGATTGTACTCTGTTTTGCTGTCATCAACATCAGGCACCACAAAAAAAGAATAAAAAAGTAGCCAAACTTGTCTTTTGAAGCTGACATTTTGCACTCATCTGACTGTTCAGAAAGTGACTTCGAATGTAGTAACTTACGAATGTTGTTTTTGTTGTTTCATTGAGAAGAATAAAATGATTGTATATTGATTTCGATTTCAAGGGTGCATAGGTGGATATAGATCTTCCACTTTCACAAGTTCCAGAATAATCAGGGCTTGGGAGAAATACAACTTCTTTTGCACTTATATAAATATATATATAAAAAGCTTCCAGTAATTTACAGTACTCTCATACCCTGGTTGTTTGTGAAACGTTAGTGAAAAGTGACAGTACAGTATGTGTTTAAAGTTTCCTGTTCATACGGTATAGAGTATCATGCTGTAAAACCCAGTGCTGGTACTTGATTAATTGCTGGGTACGAGAATTTCAACTGTTACTGGTTTAATTCCAATTAGGAAACCATATTTTTCTACCAGTGTTCCAGTAATATACTTTCTAAATATTTTCTTAGGGATAGATTATTATGATTTAGTACCAGTGCTTCATTATTAGTGAATATATGCATGTGAATTCTTTCCTGTTTTTGTTATCTAGAATTTTTGAGAGGAGAAATATTGTGATTTATCAATAAAATATGTTAGGGTATACATACATATAGGTTTAGATTCAAGACATTTTCTGGATTCATTGAGAATTTGTGTTTAATGAAAAAAATGTGATAAAGCATGAAAAACAAAATAGACTAAATTTAAAGTATATTTCATTTTCCACTGTAGTGTTCTCTAATGCATCATTATAGTAATTGTTTAGTATTGAATACATTAATGAAATAGTCTGAATCATGGATGGTGATTTTTGGGGGGTAAAAACTCACATTTTGTGAGACCATTCTTGAGGATGAAAGGTCTAGCTGCAGGCTGAAAGGCCTCAGATTGGCTACAGGAAGCTGTAACAAATGCACCACTGACTCTACATCTGTTACACTGTGATCATTAACATGTCAGCGTGTTTTAGAATGAGATGTTTGATCCTGTTGACTGTGGTGATTCTTGGTTGTTCGTATAGTGACATTAAGCTTAACTGGTGACATTGAACTTAACCTGATCTCCCAATGTTACATGGTATACAAAAGTCAAGCTCCATTCAAACAGCTGCTTTCCAGTCACAATGCTGAAGGAACTAACTTTTATGTAAAAACAACAACGAGCAATTCAGTGGTTCTAGAAATGTAGGACTGTAGTGTTCTCTGCAAGTAACCTAACACATACAATGAAAAAAACACCCCTCCATTGAAGTGCTTTATGCAATTTTGGAACATGATTACTTTTTCTGCAGTGATCACACCATGGAGAATGATAACAACATCGTTGCTTTCCTGCTCACCTCTTTCCAGCATGGTCATTGCCAAGGACATTTGTACAGCATTAAACAAATCTTTACCTCCATTGGAATGGGACAGTTATTTCTGGTGTAATTTCTTCTCTTTGTAGTGTAAATATAAGAAATAGCAATACAGTATTTTTTTCCTCAAGGTTTAATGAATGCCTGATGTGGCAAGATTTTATTTTTTTCCTTGCAAAGTTCATTTCAATTGTTAATTCACTTGGAATTAAATGTGTCGAGCTTTTATGTACCATAATAATTAAAGAAAAATCAGAAGAGTACAAAAACAGAAGTGTAAGAGCATGCAACATTGCAGTGTGTTATCTTGTGACTTAAATTAAAGTAATTATATGTTTTAAACTTTACCTGGTTTTTCTGTAAGATTTAACTTCAGCATACAATTGATTTACATCCTCTCCTTTTAAATACATGAATGCAGCAATCTAAGCTAGGAGACAGTTTTACAGATCGGTAAGTACAACAGTATATGTAATAAGAAAGGGTCTTTGTTGATTTAAGCCTAGATAAATTGCTTTAACTGTAAAGACACATATGTTTAAAACAGATACTTATCTGTCAGACTAAAGCAGCATCACAAAAGAGCTATTTATTACGTTGTTCATTTAAAATTTGGAGATTAAGTTATATCAGAAATAAACAAATAACCAAATTTAGAAGAATGCCCGTTTATTGTTCCATTAAATTCCCACTAGGTGGAGTCCAGAGACAGAGAAAATGCACTACAGTCTCAGGAAGTGGGGCATACTTTTTAGCACAGTCTTACTACTAATACTAACCTGTGTGACACTCTGTATATTCTATTGCAACTCTCTCTTCAAAATAACAGGTGAATCGTTTTCCTATTTTCTGTTAAAGAGAACTTATTTTTCATTTTGGAATAATCATCAGTTAATGATGATTTACTATTTGGGAAATAGTAAATCATCATTAACAAAAAAAAGTTACTAAATTAAACACAATTGTCCATATTCCTTGAATTTTCAACATTTCAAAATGAACATTAGGAATTTTTAAAATGTAAATGACATGTACAGTATTCATATATTCATCTAAAACTTTGGAGTCATGACTTTAGAAATGTTATGTTGGAATACCAGTTAAGATTAGTAACCAAAGTACTTATAAAGTTAATTGACTGTACATTCATTTAAATACATTTCTTATGGTTCAAAAATTAAATATATTTTAACTGCAAGCAATTTTTAACATAACGATTTGTATTCTACTGTTTTATAACTTTGATCAAATACAAATGCACAAAATTATTCATTGGGTACACTGTAGTGTATTCTGAGATGTACCTATTAGCTTTTCAGAGAAACATAGTAAGAAAACCTTTATCTATAATCCAATGATTCCCAATCTTCTGTAAACAAATTATGGAGAATACTGGAATCTTAATGGTCAGTCTAAGACTCTTCTTCATAGAAAAAGTTCCAACAACTCTTAACTACCTATATCATAACTACCTATATGTACTGTAAACACACAACAAAAGCTCACAGCAAAAAGGTCACAGTTGCGACAGGAAGTATTTAAAATAGACATAACATTTTGGCTGTGGAGCCTTCTTCAGGTGTGAAGAAACTTATGCTTTGCAGTCTATGCATGTGGATGCAGCTGCCTACTTCAGCTATATAAAATAAATACTGTCACTTAATAAAATCCAGCAAAATTAACACATGTTCATTTTTTTAATGAATTGGAACTGATTTGCTTTGTTAGTCTGAGCCAGTCATTCATAATGCATTCAAGCAAGGAAAATTCTATGAATCATCAACAAAACATTCACTTACAAAACATCTTCTTGCAGAGTGAAAAATCAAATATGAGGTTAATGTGATGTTAAATAATTTGGTTCCAATACTTGTATATGATTATCAAGAAACCTGCTTTTTTGGAGTGAACATAGTGCTTCAAATATAATATTTCAAAAACACCCAATGTGAAGAAGTTAACAGCTCTCCTTTATCAGGTCTTTAGCCCAGGTATTTCCCTGGATCTCTGAATGGTGGGAATTTCAGATAGAAACAATAAGACAGTGTCCAAAATGTATATATTAATTAATATTAATTTCTAGCATATCGCTCATTTAAAACACAGTCCTAAAACATGGTTAATGTTGTCATACTGACATACATTTATATTTTATGCCATAAAAATAATCATATTCCAATTCCAAAATCAGTTCTTGAGAACAAAGGGCTCCAGCTCCCAAAGAAATACTCCCACTCTGGGTCACTCTGACTTTGACTAAAGTTATTCTATTAATAGTATCAGACTTACAAATTCAAACAATTGTTTGAGAGTGTATACTGAAATAAAGAAAGATGAGGAGGGAAGAATCTTTTGGGTACTAAAACCATAATAAAAATGATCTACTGTACAACAAAGAACATGTCCGTAGCTACACATTCTACAATTAATCTTTTGAATCTATACCATAACGTATTTGTTGTAGTAATTGCTTTACTTTTGCATTATCATATACTGTATACTCTAGATTAAACCAAATGAAACAGTACAATTTTCATGTATCTGTTTATTATTTATTTTAACACAATATAAAGAAAGCATGCAAAAACACTCGGTTCCTATTTACAAACCCAAATAAGCAATAACATCCAAATATAGTGAGGTACAATCCAATCTAAATTATTTTAAAAAATGATACTAATGTCAGCAGTGTTATACAGTATAAAGGTCATATAAACTGAGCATATATCACAGAAAATGTCTGAAAAGACACCCCCCTAATTGCTTTCCACAATGTTACTAAACAAGAACAACAAAGATTTTCACTGCCAGTTTTCATCAGGTCATCCAAGAAAATAAGTTCAAATGAGGAGTCACTTGTCAGAAATAGGACAAAACAACTACAAAAGAAAGGCAATGAAGATAATGATATGATGAGATACTTATTGTTTTTCACTTCTGACCTATTTCTTGCACGGACAAAATGTGACATATTGTATACCTTTCCTTAGGCTTTCCAGGTTCTCCAAGATACAATAACTGGCTTTAATATTGTTTTTCTAGGTAATTTGTCTCCATTTTAATAGCAAAATGAGCATCATCCAATGTCAGAATTTCAAAACTGATGTGCAGCACACTGCTGGCTAAGTGGTCATTTGGCAAAATGTAAAAATAGGTTCCTATTTAAAAAACAGTTAGACTTTGTTAAGGGGATGCCATCACTGTTACAGTTGCATGTTAGTGTTTTACATGAAGTCGAAATTAAATGGCTCCAGACAAGGCTGTATGCCACATATACAGTATAAGTATTTCTTGAAGACAGACAGGAAAAAGATGGTAAATTAGTTCACTCTAAATAACATGCAAGTACAGTAACAAAAAGGAACACTTGACTTCTTAATAAACTGTAAACAAAAACACACAAGTATATGGTGAGCCCAGTAGCTATTTGGATGCCTAATACACATTAAGCATCCTGTGACTACTGTTTTATGAAGTGACCCAACAACACCCATTATGATTCTGTAATGTGAGCAGTAGTGATGGTCTGAACAGGTGAAACTGTCACATGAATAGTGTCACATTAATTTACTTGGTTGACTTGTACCTTATATTGTGTAAATACAGTTAACAGTAATTTAAGCAAACTCTATACAGTATACAATTTGTCATCTATAAGTTATTGTATTCATAAAGGAAGTTGATATTTTCTAAACATTTTCTTTAAGGCTCTTTGTAGCATATTTTCCCTTAGAAATAAGACATATCAACAAATACCCTGTTACAATTACAAAATAAGTCTAATTAATTTGTTCATTTTCTTTTTTCCTTCTAAAATAATGGAATTACCCTCCCCAGATATGAGATACCTGTACTTTCAGGCCTCATATTTCATAAGGATGATGATATCGTATCATGATGAGTCTACCTTAGGTTTTTGGTGAGCAGTGTACTTTCAGCTTCCTGAAACATTCTGTCTGTGCATAACACTGCAGTGAATTTCACAGCAACAAAAACTTGACCAAAATGTATCTAGTATTGATCACTGAGGGGCAAGTGTTGGGACATATACAGTAGAATGTCTGGTATAACTACAGATTTGACATTTAGCACTGAATTGATTGACACTTAGCATTTATTAAGAAGTTGTGTTCTCATTTAAAAGCTTTCTTAAAATTGAAAGAAGGTAATTGATTAATTTGAAGATACTACATCTCTATAGTTACTGTATATGAAATTACATATAAAATATTTTGGCCAGTCAAGAGTTGTGGCCTTATTTTCTAAAATCATTTTAATATCTAAATATACTACATTTGTTTTGCATTAGCTACCATTAAATAAATTAGACTTAAGGGTACTGTAATTAAATATATTTATATGCACATTAATATTGTGTTTAAATATATATTTTTAAAATTAATGAACAATGTAGATATAACACTTTCATTGCACTGTATTCCATCTTAATGCAGACTTCTCTGTGCTGTCGATTTCTTCAGCTTAAGTGCTGGATTTTCAGATCAAATATAACAGATGCTTCTTAACACGATGGATAACAGCACTTCTGGAGATTGACTTTTAAAATTATCAGGTGATAGTTTGAAAAGTGAAAAAATATAATGAATACTGGCATAAGACATAGCACGTGTTTTCCAAGAAGTTGCTTATCAAGTTACAAAAAACATTTGATATGCGAGTCAACTGTCATTTGTGTTACTTTACAGAAAAAAAAGTTTTCTACTGTCGTGAGCAGCAAGATTTTTTCTTTGAAGATTCATCTGCCAGTTGAATTGTCTTCTCTTTCTCCTTGTCTTCTTGCTCTTTTAAAACTCTGTGAAAGAAAATGTGGTCTGTGGCAAACTCATAATTCCATTTTAAGCAAAATCAACTGCAGCTAAGGAATATAATAGCTAATATAAAAAAACAAAAGGTCTTGTACTGTACAGTATGTCACCTCTACATACAGAGCAGTTTGTTTTTCCACTGTATTGTGGTATCATCAGGCATCTCTATATCTGACAGACATTACTGTACATCAACATCAATCTAATTTTAAATTATGAGAGGTTTGATTATATATGATTACAGTATATGAGGGTTTGATTATCTGAGGGCTGACAATGCCAGTTTAAATCAATCACGCCAAAATCTAAATGTGATTTTAGATTTAAAACTGAGCTACTACTAAATTTGCCAATTTATTGATATTATAAATCAATAAAAACACAATAATATATAATTATAGAAATACATTTATCATTCTTACTAGATTAGACTTATAAAACAAAACATTCATTACCTGTAGATGGAAGTATTTGTACTATGGCAGAAAAATACTAGAAAACCTGTACCTTATTTTACAAATAATAAAGAACCAAATATTTTTATTGGTTTTCTAGCTACCACTTATTGAAATGTACAGCAAAATGCATATTAAAAAGTAAAACAAGCAGTGTAAATACCATAACTTGCCAGGGCAAACCTCAATAAAGCAGTAGGGTTTATCACTTATGTTTTGAGTGCTTATTTGCTGTATACTGTACCATATATCATATGTGTTCTAAAGGACGTTTTTGCTTTAATGATTATTCACCACAACAACTAGGCCTATTTCTATGAATATAGCTTCTGTATAACTTTTTTAAAGCTGACTGATTGGAACAGGACAGTTGAAACTAATACTAATGCTACACAGCTGCAAAGAGCCTAAAAACTGAACATAAAAGAAATCACAAACGTGAGATTTATCATGATGATCAGAGCCATCAGGTGTTTCAAAGCTTTATATACTGGAGGGGTTAGTTAAGACACACATTCTCAAAACACATGCATATTAAAAGATGTGAAACCAAGAAAAAGTAAATAACATTAATGTTACGATGATATACACTAGGAGCGTAGCACGCAAATACTGCATAGTACGTAACATCAATTAAAACAATAGCTTTCATTAGAACAAAATATACTGTTTCTATACTGCAATTTTATAATATATTATATAATATAGTTTCTATACTGCAAGCTCAGAAATATAAATTCTTTATATTTCTGAGCTTGCAGTTTTCCTCCTGTAATGTCAATCAAGACCAGCAGTTGTTCACCTGGAATCACACCTCATATTCTAAAAGTAAGCCTGCCTGTAACAGATATATTTTAGTGCTTCACTGATCCCCTAGCAAGGAAATCAATTCTCTACCCACACTGTGCTGCTCTCCCTCTGCTCGAATTGTACTTCTTATGCTTTGGCATAATAATTGTCATTCATGTGAAGAATAATGAAATTGAATATGCGATTTTTCCAGTCAAACCAGTTATTCTAAAATGAACAAGATAAGGGCTTCCACTCCCCTATATGAATCCCTACCTGTCCCTGTTATCTTTAACTTTTCCTTAGTTATTTGCCTGATTTCATTCCAACTACAATATTCAGCCGAATTAAAATATTGTACTTTCAATAACAACAAATTATATCAAGGAAAAAGAAACAGTTTATTATACAGTATTAACCGCAAAAACATACATATATTAGGACTGCCAACTACATTTTTGGTGAATGCTTTCAACCAAAGCACTAATTTGTTTAATCCTGCCAGCTATTTTATAAGGCCATACTTACTGTACAGTGCCTAGCAAAATAATTCAGACCCTCCCTAGGGGGGGCCATTCTGTAAAGTTACAAAATTATGCATACACATTTTTTTAAACCTGAATATTCAAACTAAAGACTTCTAAGGGTAAGATTAGTTACAGTAAATACCAGTAAAAACGAAGAGAAAAAAATATGAAATATATTGATTGTATCAGACCTGTGAGCTCAATATTTCGTGATAGCACCTTTTGCAGCAATTACAGCTGCAAGATGTTGTGAATAAGTCTCTACCAGCTTTGTCAGTTCTTTTTTCTCATCAACAGTATGTTCCTTTCCATTTTGATAAGCTTCCTAGTTGCTGCTGAGATCTAAAGAAGGCTTAAAACCTGAAATGTTGCGTTTCTTCTTTCTACTTTTCTGAAATTTAACCATTACATGTCCCTATAACATCATATTTCCACTTCCAGATGTAACACTTTGCTTTTAGACCAAAACATTCCAATTTTGTTTTGTGTGACCACAGTCTCATTCCACATGTTTGCAGTATCACAAAGGAGCATGATCTAGGCAGCATCTGGGTACCTTCCATGTATTAATAAAACTGTAATAACTGTCACTCCAAAGGGTCACAACACCAATATTAAAGCAACAAATGAAAACTGCACAAGGCTCTGAATAGTTCTGCAAGGCACTGTACAGTATATTATGAAAATGATTATTTAACACAAATAAGGGAGTGCTCACTTTGTTTCACTACATAAGCCTAGTTCACAGTAGTAAAGGGAAATAGGATTTATAAAAAACTATACCATAATTTAATGCAAAAGCAACCCTGCTCTTATGTATTTGGATATAGCACCAAATGGAAGACAAGAAAGGACCAGAGGCACAGAATAAACAGACTGCTGTATATTCACAAATATATGTGATGATATCAATATCAGTGAGCATCGCCCATATTACAGTAACAAACGAAAGTTGATGCAATATGTGAAAACATTTCAGTGAAGGTGTGTTGACATTAATACTGTATCTTGGACACTGTAAGATACAGTGGTGGGCATGTCAAGTGACCACAGGAGACATGATTATGTTGAAGCGAGCCTTGGATCAGAAGCTCATGTTTATTCTGTTTTCCTGCCCGATGCAGAAAGGTTAATGTATGTTTTGGTTTTATAGGATTGGATTATGCTGTGTTTGCTGATCTATCCAGTTGTGTTCTTAAAATACAACATATTCAGAATGCAGCAATTCACTGCATTTACTCACTCATTTATTCATTTACTCACTTTGCCAAATGAAGCATGGACTCAGTGACATTGTGACCGGAGAAGGCGCTGCACTCATAGAAGATCAGCTGGGAATCCTAAAGCAAAAAGAAAATTGCAAAGCTCACAACAAATTTTTCTTTCAAATTTGGTATCAACAAACATTGCTATTTTCTTACACTCCTACCATCTAATCACCAAAAGTCACCCATCTCAGCTCACCGTTCTCACCTGTGTGTGTCTTTTCTGACGCACACAATTGTTTCAAAATTGCCATTACTACTCTTTTACAAAAATCTTATTTGCATACCTCTCATTATGCAAATTGCCATCCTATTTCTCATTTTCCCTTACTTTCAAAGATCTTGTAGATACTAGTCGACATATATTAATAATCTTGTTTGTCCTCAGCTGACGTCTATGTGCATTTTCAATCTGGTTTTAGACCATCCTGAAGTACAGAGACAGCCTTGGTCTCTATTAAACTCGAACCCTGGCACTACTTTTCCATCGGTCCTATTAGATCTCACTGCTGCATTCCACAGTGAATCATCACTTTATGCTAGATTGCCTCGTGTGAATGGAACGGCTTTGAAATGGTTTGAGTCTTATTTGTTAAACTGAGGACAATTTGTTTCTATTAATTTTAAGTCCAAAATTATCCCACTCTTTTCAAGTGTCACCCAAGGCTCTATCCTAGTACCTATTCTGTTATACTCCCATTAGGCAGTCTTATGGGCAAAAACAAAGTCCACTTTAAGTTTTACACTGACGATATTCACCTTTACATCTATATCTTGTCCGGTCCACCATGTAATGTCTCTATTCTATCAAACTGTGTAAGCAAAATTCAGACCTGGTTGAGCTCAAATGTCAACCTTTTTCAATACGACAAAAATGAAGTGATGTGCATAAATCCCATGGATATACAGCACATTTATTAAATTCTCTACAACTTAGAAACAGTAGCCCCAAATTATGCCCCATGATAAATCTGTTGGTCCCACTTGATGTTCAAACAAAAGCCATCAGTAAACTCTCAGATGTTTCACCTCAGAAACATTGCCCACATCTCAGCTGGATTACTGTAATACCTTTACTTTGGACTACTTACCCCTAAACAAGCTTCAAACGGTCCAGAACTCAGCTGCTCAACATCTAATATGCTGAAGGCTCTGTGAGCACATCACCCCAATTCTGATATGTCTTCACTGGCTCCCCATTACTTAGTGCATTCAGCTCAAATTTTTGCTTTTAACTTTTAAAGCCCTACACACCAAATCCCTGCAATACTTGAGTATGTGAGTACAATGAGTAATGAGAGATGCTACTGTATGTACAGGTACCAAGACTAAATACATACAGTACTGTATCTGTTTAGTAAGACTTAATTAGCGTTTGTCTTTTCTCTTTTTCCACTTTTTATCTCTACCTTTATTTCTGTTAATTTTATTTTTTTTTACCCTGTAAAGTGACCCAAACACTTTACATGAGCACCAAACCAAATCCTTGTAAAATCCTTGTAAATCCTTGCACACACTTTTATGCAACTTGCATTAGGTTATCTTGAAACCTGTTGTACTGTAAGATAACAGTGCTCTACTGCACTCACAAAAGTTCTTCTGGCTTATCAGTTCTATTCTTCTTACCAGTTTAAAGATTCCGTTTTCATATAGGCAATATTTGGATGGGTCTCTTTTCTAAATAAAAAATATCTCTTCTCTGTGCTACAGCAGTCTCTACGAATTGAACACATAATGACAACTCCTTCACTCTTCATTTTCCCTCACTGCTTGTAAGACACCAAACAAGTCCTCATCGTAGGTTATTACCAATATTAAATTTCTTTGATAATAATCATGCACTTTAGAGCAGATGAACTATAGCAGATGGATTGGTCAGATGAGTTCTGTTGGAAATAAATCTCCATGGAAACATAAGGAGACAAAAACTGATAATGTGGACCAAAAGTGCACTTTCCTTAATAGAGGCCACTGAATTTTTTTTTAAACAAAAACAGCTCAGTTCATTTGCTGGTGTGATTAACCATACTGACAATAATAATGAGCAAAAGCAGAATGCATGACACAAACCTTAGCTAATTTCTCGCCTACTTTAAACTGAACTTCTCTTCTGGCCTCCCTATCGGTTTTGTTCCCAAGCAACATGATAGGAATATCATCTCCTGCTCCTTCCTGTGAAGAAAAAAAGACACAAAAATCCCAATACAGTCCATTAGCACAAGTCTTACATCATCACGGCACACAGTCATACAGGTTGATGGTAGACATTCACGTTGGGGAAAAAACAACAACATTTTCATCCTTCAAAGGCTTGTATGTCGTTAGTTTAGAAGTACATGTGAGTCATACATCATGCTTAAAATTAAAATACACTTTGAGAAGCTTGAAAGAAAACATTGTTCTGAGAAAGGTTACTTAGTGTTCACTTCCACATTGCAATATAAGAGTATTGTAATGTACGTCTTTCATATATTAACTAAATAATTCACATTAAGGCATAACATACAGTAAATTACAGCACCACAAATATATTTTTAAAAATATTCTAATATTTCTAAAAAAAAACACCTCACAAAATAACTGATTCAATCAGAAGCTATAAAAAGAAAAACAAACATTCACATTTTAAAATTACATATAATACATACTATATGCTGTATACTATAGTCAATTCAATTCCAAATACTTTATCCATCCACAAGGCGGGAAATTTAAGCCGTAAGCAGTTTTATAACATTTAACAAATAAAACATTACTAAGAAAAAACAACGTATAAGATACTGTATCTCCATAAAAATGATTATGAAAGTAACAGTGTGTAATATTTAAAAAGGTATTAAAGTACATGCACATTGTTAGAGGGGAATCTATGCAATAGAGATTACATTGATAAAACTTCTTTACATTCATTGTTTATGAGTCTGACAGCCTCTGGAACAAATCTAAATTATTTTATTTCTCTTGCACTGTGGACAAAAAACATATTCCTGTAGGTACAAATTTAAAAGCCTGATGAAGGATATGAGATGGATCTTCAATGACAGCACAGCCCTTTCTCAGGACCTGCTGGACATAAAGCTGTGCCAGGTGTCTTACATCACCAAAGATTTTAGAGCTGGGGTTTTCAACATTTTAAAGGTAGTCTTTTTGACTGAGTGACGTGAACCAACAGATATAAGAAAAAGTTAAAATACTTTAAATAAAGGAGCTATAAAATATTGATATTCTCAACTCCAAAAGAATTGTATATGGTTTACTCTGACCATATACAGATGCAGCCATTCAAAGTGTGCGGTACACACACGTACCGGAGGTAATTGGCTATGGCGTCGCGCATTGTGACGCACGATGACGCGCGGTACCGCAGTACGTGATTGGTTGACCGACAAGGGCCCTCGTGGTCCGTTGGTCTGTCGTAGAAAGATAGTCTTTACTGTGCCCGTTGTAGTATTGAATATTTATATGGAATTTTACCACTGAAGGGAAACTTTAGTGCCTGAGCATAAAAAGAATAGGAGCATACTGCAACACGTGTGAAGGCCATAAACGATATTAATTTTGGAACTTAAACATACAGTATATGGCTGGTCTCGGTACTTTAA